TAAAACCCAATCCCTGTAATTACTTGATTACTGGAGTCTAAATAGATCATATTTTGAAATAATATATTGGTTCAACATTGAAAGACATATTTCATTTTGTCCTCATAAAATATGTGTTCATAATTCAGTGCCTTGTACTCTTATCTACCACTACTGCTCAGTTGGGAAAGCCCAGGCTGTCATTTTAACCCTTTAGAGTTGAGATAAAAGAGACAGAAGAACACAGTGAAAAAAAAGGGGGGCTCCAAACTGACCCATTTGTAATTTATATTTCCTCGCCTGTCATGAACTCAGGTGATATGTAACCCAGTAGAGATGCATAAGCTGCATCGCTTCTGGAAGGCATGCTGAACAGGGGATGCTTTTCTATAGAAGGAACGTTAAGAAAGAAACATTGGTACCCTGCCCGTGTATCTGGCCATAGCTAGGGTGTAAGGTGAGGTGTCTGAACGCTTGTCTGTAGGCTTACAAATTGTTACACATATTAAAGGACTCACACAAGTGGCTGTGTAACCAATCACAGCATGATTGACAATCAACAAGTATAGCTTTGCCCTGCAGGACCTGAGAAGCTATGAGCCTCTTTGATGTCAAGTGGAAGCCCCAGATGTTGCGGCTTATTCAAGCAATGCCCACTAGGCAACAACTACCCTTTCAAGGATTTCAGTTCATTTTGTTGTTGATGAAAATCTATCTTGCCACAAAATCAGAAAGGATTTACTAATGCAGCCATCACCAAATGCAGAAGATATATTATGGCACATCAAATAATTAAAGTTAGCCTCAAGAATTATTATATTTCAGATAAAGCTCATGCCAAAGCCCTTTCCTTTCAACATATATTCTAGCATGTTGTAAGACTGTATTCCAAATTGTCTATCAACCTTCTTATTGGACTTGCCAAAATATGACTTTCACTACAATGTCATTTGTTAGCAATGGCCATTTGTAATTTCCATTTATGGAGAGCAGGTCCTTAATAGAAGAGAACAGGAGCTTTAATAATGCTCCTTTTTCTTCAGTCTCTCCTGGTATGTTTAGCCATCCTGGTTTTCTCTAACCCCTCTGACAGTGTTTCCTGGGAATAATATACTTGTTACTCCACTGTCTGAACATCAGCTTGTACAATCACTGCCCTCAGTTCCCCTTCAACGATCTCACTATCCGCTCCACTAAAAATAGCAGCCTTCTGTCTGGAGCTGCAATAAGTTACCCCAAAGACTCTGTGCAAGCAACTGCCAATTAAACCTGCAGCTCTGTGGTTGCTCTTCCCAGCCATATGGTTTATGAAGGAATTTGACTTTCAAAAAATTTCTAAACTGTCAGCTAATTTTCTTGAGGTGTTTTGATATAAAGCTAACATACTGCTTATTATTTTTTCTTGTATTTCTCCGAGAATACAGTTATCTTAGCAATTTATAATATACTGTTTGTTATAACATGGTCAACAGAATGACCCGCAGTGAGCAATGACTGAGACTCCAGGTAAAAAGAGCAGAGGGCTTTTACCCTCAGGTACATTTTATTCCTTGGACTGTTCTTGGATGTGATTTCATGTCTCCTGTGACAAACATTTACATTCAATTTATAAGACATGTTTATTCTTGCTGGGTGTCAGATTATAGCTATGGAACACAATTTGTCCAGGATACCCTGAACCTTCTCTCTTGCCTGTGTGTTTTCTCAGATAGAATCCATAGTACATGCCAAGCAATTGTGTTTAAATTGGTCTGTCCTGAAAAATTCCGGGAAAAGGGCTACCGTGTCAATATTTAGTAAGTGTTTCCTTGTATTTATTTATTTACATGTTTTTTTGAACTCAATCAATCTTCCTTGAATCATTGCTTTCTAGTCTACAGCATTAGACTGTAGTCTGACCATTTTTTCAGGTCCAGCACACAAGACCCACATTGGTTGGCTAAAGCCAATAATTGTTTGTTTTAGTGTGTCTCTTGTATTGTTTTAATGCGCTATACTTCAGATAATCTGGGATCTGACAACTGTGGCAAAAGACTAGAAAATGGGTTCATGCTATTGTTATTTGGCTGGATCTTCACAAAAAAATTATTTTTGATTTGTTTGTTTTCTTTCTTTGGTTAAAGGGTATTCATTAAATTTAACTAAATAAAAAGTAGCATTTCCCTCAACATCACCACTGACAAAATAACAACAAAAAAAATATTCAATTTGGTGAACCTTCTGACATACCGACAACTATTTTCTATATTACTATATAATAGCTAATTATAATTAACTTTATCATGATTCTGGAATAAATCTTAAAACCTTATTTTTTTTAACCAAAAGGGTTAAAGGTCCTCCACAATGTCTGTGAAATCTTAGCCAATCTGTCATTCTACCTTTCTGTTATGCAAACAAGCAACCCTTTCTAAATTGTTTTTAAGAAAAACACTAAAGAGATAAGGCTGTATAATTCAATTACATGCTTTGTAAAAGCTGGAATGGTGTTTAATATTTTATAAAACACATATTGAATTTACCCTTGATAACACAGTTGGAATAGAATAAACATTTGTGACTTATTCACTTACTCCTTGACTTAGATAATTAATCAAAAATCTCATTTTACCATGAGATGATATTCAAGTTTAGAATATACACTGTACATTCTATCAACAGCATATCCAATCCATAAATACAGTCAGCATGATAATTTATGTATAAAGTTAAAGTAGGTGGGTTATGTAAATAAGATTCTGTGGGATTACCAAATGGGGCACGCATGGGAGGGATACTGAAGAAAAGACTATTTGAAAGCACACAAGGATGCCCTAATATACTACAGTAATTATTTAAACTTAAAAGCCAATTGTGAGCTGGTTATGTTTTTGTTCATTTGACACAAGATACAGTCATGTAGGAAGAGGGCACTAAGTTGAAAAACTGTCCCCACCAGACTGGCCGCTGGAGACGCATTTTCTTGATTAGTGATTGATGTGGGGTGGGACATTACCACTCCTGAGCCTGGGCTCATAGTTTATATAAAAAAGCAAGCTGGGCAACCCATGGGGAGCTAGCTAATAAACGGCATTCTTTTATGCTCTCTGCTTCAGTTCCTCCGCCAGGTTCCTGCGTTGAGTTCTGTAAGAAAGCATCCTGAGCAAGCCAATGGGAACAAGCCAGTAAGAAGACTCCACAACCTCTGCAGCAGCTCCTGCCTCCAGGTTCCTACCCAATTTAAGTTTCTGTCCTGACTTCCTTTAATGATGTATAGTGATTAGGACGCATAAGCAAACTAAACCTTTTACTCAGCACCCCCCCCCAAAGAAATATCTTACTCAATATCTAGAAGTTTACTCAAAAAATTATAAAATAATATCTGAGTGATGAATTAATGACCAGTATAGTGACATTTTTATTTTTAATTCATTCATTGAAGATCTCTCCTTAAGAAATATTTTTACTTACATTTACCTGTATTTGAAGATTTATATGTGAATGTTCTACCTGTATGTACACCTGCATGCCAGGAGAGGGCATCAAATCCCAGTATAGACTCCCGAGACACCATGGAATTGATAGGAATTGAACTCAGCACCACGGGAAGAGCAGACCACTGAGCCATCTGTAAAGCCTATCACAGAGGGCCTCTTGAAAGACTCTACCCATCAGGGTATTGAAGCAGATGCTGAGACTCACAGCCAAACTATGGGCAGAGTGCAGGAAATCTGAGGAAAGAAGGGGGAGCTAGAAAGACCTGGAGGGGACAGGAGCTCCACAAGAAGAGCAACAGAACCAAAAATATCTAGGCACAGGGGTCTTTTCTGAGACATACTCCAAACAAGGACCATGCATGGAGATAACCTAGAACCCCTGCTCAGATGTAGCCCATGGCAGCTCAGTCTCCAAATGAGTTCCCTAGTAAGGGGAACAGGAACTGTCTCTGTCATGAACTCAGTGGTTGGCTCTTTGATCACCTTCCTGTGATGGGGTGGGAGGTTGGGTATTCTTACCAGGCCACAGAGGAAGACAATGCAGCCAGTCCTGATGAGACCTGATAGGCTAGGGTCAGATGGAAGAGGAGGAGTTCCTACCCTATCAATGGACTGGGGGAGGGGCATGGGGGGAGAAGAGGGAGGGAGGGTGGGATTGGGAGAGGATGAGGGAGGGGGCTACAGCTAGGATACGAAGTGAATAAATTGTAACAAATAAATAAATAGGAAAAATATCTCTATTTAATAGTTCAAAGATAAAACCCATATATAATTCTCTATGAATTCTCATAGTCACTGTTAGACATCTGAACATTTCATAATAATGTAATATATGAAATTATTTTAAAAATATATTTTAGTCACATGATGCAACTGTACATGGCCCACTGCTTACCAAAAAAATGCAGGGTTTTCCTTATAAATATATCTCTGCAAACCAAAATTCTGACACTGACAAACTGGTTATCGCTTAGTAAAATGGGCAGTTAAGTAGCTCATACGTGAAATAAATTATTACAAAGATCAAACTTAATGTTCCTTAGCTTATTGTTGCCTTCAGGTCAGGTGAGTTATATAATAACAGCACTGAAACCAGGATTCTCTTACGTTTTCAGATAAATATGGAGCAACCTCAGTTAAGTAGATCATGGTGAAATAGAGGAGAAAACTCGAAGAGAGAATGGATGTGACTGTGTGATAGAAGAAGGAAAAATGTCGAACTAGTGAATTAAACAAAACAAAACAAAACCAAACCTGAGGACCAATATAGAGAACCATCCCAACAAAGGATCAAAAAAAAAAAAAATGCAGCAATATAACAGCAACCTACCAGGGGAATTACAAAAGGCGATACAGGAAATGTGTCCTGAGGAGGAAGCAGGGCCAATGGCTGAAGAAGAGAAGAAATCAGAATGGGGAGCAGTGTGGTTGCAGAAAAGAAACACCACGGGAAACAGGGAAACCCATCCCCGTGTATTGTAAACAGTGCCCCAGTATTGCCGGAGCCTCCCAAATGTGCTGAGAGGCAACCATAAAGCTCAGTACCTTTGCTTTATCTCGCATCGATCCTTTGCCCAGGATAGACATTTTAGCGCCTGTTTCTTCCTGTAGCCTCTTCAAGGAGTTTCCTCTTGGTCCAAGCAATTTTCCCACAAAATTGAACTAGAAGGCAAAATCAACAGAATATCTACATTAAGAGAGAGGAAAAGTATAATTGGTCTTAAGTATAACTAATGATTATGGGTTTTTAAAGTTTACCATTAAAAAGTTACAAAATGTACATCCACCCATGAATACACATTTGCACATGTGCACACAAAACACTGGAAACTACTTCAGGCTTCCAATCCAAGTGTTCTTACTACTTCCTAAAAGAGAACCAAGATCAATGGTACATGGAAAATACTATTTACTCAAGTAAACAACTAAAACACATATCATACGGAAAAAATAAAGTTCCTCAAGTAACATGAAAGTTTCTTCAAACCAATAAATGTACTAGATGTTAGACTAAATGTTAAAATTATATTAGAAGGAATATAAAATATATTTTTTTAAATTTTTATTTTGTATGTTTATGTGTGTCGTGTGTGTGTGCATGTGGTGTGTGTGTGTGTGTGTGTGTGTGTGTGTCTTTCTCACATGTGCTCAGGTACCCATGAGCGCCACCAGAGGGCACCAGATCTGCTGGAGCTGCAGTTGGAGGTGCTAAGGAGCCCCCAGGAACAGGTGCTGAGAACCAAACTTGAGTGTTCTGGAAGAGCAAGCAAGGTAACCTGGGGTATCTCTCCAGCCCTGAAATGTATGTTTTATATTTTATTTAATGACAAAGATATAAGTTTCAGAATAATATAAAGTTAGAAACACAAGAAAAAATGGCTTATGTACTTTACATACATAAACAGCCAATGCTTTTAGTAATAAAACAGCAAAGTTTTCCTACAGCAATATAAAGATCAACCTGTTTTGCGTATCATCAATGCATAATTTGAAAATATATCTTATGAAGGAGAGAATATTTAAAATTGGTAAGTGCACAGCATATGGTTTGCTCTCACTAACAAAAACTAGTCTGTCCATAGTTGCAGCTAATCATAGCTTCTCTGTTTGCTGAAGCGTTGGGAGTCAATCCTGAGTGACAGTTCAGAAGACTTCTGTTTAAAATGAAGGCCTGTTTGAAATGTAAGATATCAGAAATAATTATGTAATTAGCTGCATATTTCATGTCCTTAATTTTTGGAAATTTAATTGAATATATACTCTGAAAGCAGTCAACACAAAAATTGTTTCAATAAGACCTTTTCTCTCTGCTTCCTTATTTATTTAGTCCTCCAAAATAGGAATTGCTATCACCTGATCATGGAAAGCAAACTGTATCACTGGCAGCCTTTCTCACATCCTTTCTTTAAGGAAATCATTTACACACAAAAATTACGCCCATCTAACACAACAGTGTCTTTCATATTTAACTATCATTTATTACCTTTGAAATTCTAAGATTTTAAAGATGTAATATATTGAACATGGCTGTGTTTTCAATGTCTTAAGTATCTTCAAGTAGATTGAAGATATTTCATTCATGTTTCAAGAAAACTAAATGTGTATGTCAACTACTTTGAGGTCATTGAACAATTTTTGGAACTATTTCTTTATTACGATGTCTTGTGATCAATATTATAGAAATTATTTAAATTATTACATGGAAAACAACCCCCAATTCTCACATTTTAATTGATTTGAAATCAATAAAACATAAATTAATGACAAAAATAATTGCTTATCTTGAGTCTAGGGTTACATTAAGAAAAAAAAATTTTAGAGACTTCTAAACAAAGTAACCCAAATACTTATTCATAGTTAAGTGAAAATAATATTCCACATAAATATTCATAAATTGGCCAGTATATCCTCTGAGCTCAAACAATCCAAGAAATTCTTATCCGAGAGTTCTAATTTTCCATGTTTTCCTCATGGTTAACGAGGAAATATGAGCTCTTCACAAGTATTTATGTGAAATAGCCCTCTTAACATGTGACACTTGCTTTTATGGTCACATTTCCAAATGGATTCCACTAGTGATCTATCCATTTTCAGACAAAAGGACCATTCCTTTTTCTTTTCACTAGGGGCAGGAGGTCTGCCTCAGCCTGGGAAGCAAACCCAGAAGGTGTTCTCTGCTGGGCTTTGGCCATTCCCCTTTGAGGTGACACAGCTGTTTAGCTGCCATGATCCCTGATCCTTTCAAGTGAGACTCCAGTCCTCATACTTGGCAAAGATTGGACTCCCTTTACTAGTGAGCAGGAATTCAGAGATCTACTCTTATATGCTTTGGGAACACAGCACTAAGCAATTGTTACCACTTTTTGTGTACTAGTATTAAAACAAAGCAGAAGAAATAGAGGCAGTTGCACAGAGAAGGTACAAAAATATTATTTCTGTATCATTAGAGCTGAAATGATGATACTCAGGTATTCATCTCATCATCATCAAAGAGTACTGACAGGAAAGGAAGTAATTAATTTGAGTACAGTAGAACAGTTTAATTTCATAGCATTAATATCAATTTACACCTAGAAGGACCCATTTGAAAGTTGCAAAACCATTGCCAAAAAGAATCACTTTTAATCTAACCAAACAGACAATGACAATCAGACAATAATAATCAGAAAGGAAGGAAATGAAGGTGAATGTTTAAGGATTAATTATTACAGTGCATAACAATAAACTGCCATAAAATAAATTTTACTCAATAAATATTTTTTCCATAAAATCAAAGAAGGAACATGAAATAATAATTTTTCATCCGCAACCCAGGAGATTTAGCATCTTCCATTTAAACAATTTCTAGAAACTTAACAACTTCACTGACCAGAAAGGGTTCTTATGTACAAAGTGCTATGTAATTACACAAAACATGACAAAAGCTGAGAAAGAAGGAAAGATTAAGGCCTAGAGGTATCCAAGAAAATAATTGTTTTGACGAGGGGGAAGTTATGAGAACCATTCTTCCTTCCTCCCTCTCACTTTCTTACTGAGCATGGAAAAGGGGGTAGGAGGTATGAATGAGTTCTAACTGGGAACACCTTGGATGAGATACTGTAGAATTGAGCTCCTAAAATTTTTAGAGTCTAATACAAAACCTATAGTGTGACTTGATGAGCAATAAGAAGTCTGCAGACAGAAGACTGGCCAATACAGAAAAGATGGCATAAGAAGAGAGATGAAAAAATGACACAATAAAAAAAGATGCTAATGTGTTGGCAATAAGTTATGGCCAGATACAGGCGCTGGGTAATTAGGAAACTATAGACCTTAACAAATTATATTTCCTTGTTCAACAGTATAAAACATAATAAAACATATTCATAGCAGACATGAAAGGAAACCTTACTGTTAGCAAAATAATTGGATATGGAACCAAAGTAGTTGAGGGTGTTTTAAAATATTTTTGAAGTTGTTTTCATTGCAGACCTGAAATCTAGGAGGCCTAGTAGCCTTGCTGGGAGAGAGCTTGGAGGAAAATTAATATTTAGGAAAAAAAAAATGAGGAGGAAAGGCAAGATGTTTTATTTGTTTTTTATTTTATTTTATATTTTTGCCTGGAGGAATAACAGAACTGGAAATAGAAGAACAAGCATCTTTGACACATTGTCTAATTTACAACTCTGCATCAAGCGTGGCACCTGAAGGCTGCACTCTCCTGGAAGGTGTGACGGGGACCACCAGAAGACCTAGGGGCAGGAAGAGTCAAGCCGAGATGTGACTGCTTCAAAGTCACACCAGGCGTGGGAGAAGAAAGTGTCAGAAGACGTTCCTGCTGCTGAGTGCTGTCTGGGAGCACCTCTGTATGGTTCTTCCATGCAGTATCAGCACACCAAAGGCTTCTCCTGGTGGTCTTTGCTTACATAATTGCGGTGTATATCAAGCACACATGACAAAGGCAGAAGCTGCAGAGTACAGGGGTGGGAAAATGAGAGCAGGGTGAGCCAGGGTGGCCGGTGGTTGGGGAGTGGTGGCTCTGAGAGCTTAATTGAAGGACTTTTCTGGCAGCTCAAGAACACCAGAACCCCGTTCCTGGACACCCAAGCGGTCCTGCCCGACCTCGATACTTGGATTATTCTCTGGACCTGTCTTTTCAGAATAGTGATAGCAGCCAATGCCTGACAGCTACATATCCTGTGGTAGACAGCCTACATGCTGCGGCTGATCTTGTTTGCCTGCTGGGATCTGTCTGCAGCAAAGGACTGAGTCCCAGTGACCCTGTCCCCTCCTAGAACTGCCCGGCTCAGCAGGTGCCAGAACTGATGTCCTGACTACCTGTCCTGATAAAGGCAGTCACCTGAGTCGTCTTGGCAGCATTCAGTGATCTGTGTAAGGGGTCAGCCACCTGAAAACAGAAAATATAGCTGCACAGATACAGAGCTTCCAGGCCAAAGGAAGTGGAAGTAGATAATGGGAGCCATGAGCTAATAACGGCTGAAGTAAGCCAGCAAGAAAACCGTGAGCCCTGGTCACCGCAATTCCAGTGTTTAATTCGGCACCAAGGGTCTCAGCACCCAGGCTGACACCAGAGCCTTGCCCAAGGTCTAGCTACTGGTGACAGTTGAATGGTAAGGGAAAGGTCAGTTTGCTGGAGACCAGAATTTGAAGAAGTTCTCCTTGCCTACCCAGCAGACAACAGGTTCTGTTTGAATAAAAATGTGCTTAAAAGTTTTATCGCTAAATTAGAGTGGCCCGGAGGAGAATATCAGAGTGCTGCGAAACACTGTCCTCTGGACATAATATTGCTATGGCACCCATGAGCTCAGAGTAGTGTGGTTGCCTGCACAAGACATGAACAGGATCACACCATCTGTGTGTATGCAGGAATATGCACATGTTTGCAGGCGTGTGTGTGGAGGCCAGCGGTGGGTGTCAGGTATTTTCTTCAGTCACTCTTCACTGTTTGAGGCGGGGTCCCTCTCTGAATCCGTAGTTCACCGCATTGGTTAGGTTGGCTATCCAGCGAAATCCATGGATCTGCCTGCCTGCCTCCGGGCGCTATGATTACACAAGCATGTACCTGGTGCTGACAGCGTGCTGGGAATCAGCTCAGACTACTCTCATGCTTGCACAGCAGACGGTGCACGCTGCTAGCGTTGCTCTCAAATATCCAGTACAGT